GCAAAGCAAAGCAAAGCAAGCAAGCAAGCAAGAGAAAGAGAGAGATTGAGATTGAGAGATTCTCGGGATGTCGGGGCTGCTGCTATGCCAAGCCCGAAACCAGTTCAAAATGCACTGTGCATCATTGAATTGCACAGTGCATGCCCCAACAGTCTGTTGCGCTCTGCTCAGCTTTTCGTCGTGTGTCTGTGCACAGTGTGAAGTGCCGTTCATCAATGACTCGCTTGCAGGCATCCCTGTAGCAGGAGCTGCAGAGCTGCTACAAAACTACTCTGATACGCAAGCGGGCATGCCACGAATGCGCGTGGAAGCAAGAGCCGTGCCGGTGGGTTTTCGCCATCAGAGTGGTTCTTGCATTATGCTCGCAGTGCCCGAAGCTGCCAGAAGAACAAATTCGTACACAGCGTCCCCCTCTCGAACAAAGAATACGGTGGGGCTTGACGGCTGGAGCAACTTCTAGTTCCAGCAATGACCATGAGTTGATGATTCATGCTTTTGAGCCACCAGCGTCACTACGATAGCCCACGCTTCCTTCCTCCGCATGCTGTGCGCGCCTTTGCGAAAGAAACAACTGCGCATGATCCCAGGCGCGCTAGATTGCACGAGGTGCTTTTGAATCATGATGGATGAAGCAAAACCAGCGCGGACACTGCGACGCACACGCTGCTCGCTCACTACTGAGGCGAAGGCGACATTCGGGAGGTTGACTCCTTCTGCGAAGAGAATGTGATGGGCTCGGTCTGCCACGAATAATTGCTTCAGAGCCTGCGGCTCCAAGGACCACCTGCAACATTGCCGACTCATCTCCTGGCTATAACCTCGGCATGTGACCTTCCAAACCTTCAATATTTACTTCCAGATGACATTGAGACCAAGGTCTGATTGGGTAAGCTGCAGCAAGACTTGCGGAGGACGGCCTCAGGTTTGATGACGAAGCATGCGAAAGCCCTCTGAAATTAAAGACTCTGTGCTGACGGGTGAAATTGCTCTGTGCACAAGTGATCGAAGTTTGGGGGTCTTACTTGACAGAACCTGCACTGAAAGGGACGACGTGTTTGGGCAAGCTCTGCACGCGTTGAAGACTTGCATGCAGAGGGGGATCGGGGTTTAAGAAAACTATTCAAGGGGTGAAAAGCACCATTTAAGGGATCGAAAACAAACTACTTGTCGCTGCAAAATCTAGAAAGGAAGACGGACATAAAGAAAGACAGAACGAAAGAAACAAAGAAAGAAATAAATAACGAACAACAAACAGAAACATATAAAGAAGGACCGCATTTCAGAGCAGAGACAAAGAAAGACAGAAAGAATAAAGGATCCTGAGCAACTATAAATGCGCTTGCCTTCTTTAAAAAACTATTATTATCTAGGCCCATGCCATCTCTGGAGACACTAAGCATAAAGAAGCCTTCGCTCCCAGAGCTTCATTTCGCGCGTTTTCTCAGGATGATAGCGATGAAGATGATGACCACGATGATGAGGATGTTGATGATGAGGATGCCTATGTCTTTGTATACATGTATATGTACATGTATAGGGATATGATGGGATATGTATACATATACCTATATGTACATATGTCTATATGTACATATGTCATTATGTGCATATGTCGTTATGTACCTATGTTTTTGCATACATATGTATACATATTATATATATATACATATTACATATATATATATGTATATATATATGCTCGCCCCC